CACTAAAATACTACCATGCATCCCCACCCAATTAGCCATTTTTTGTGTGAACCCTCAGTAGTGTTACTTGGACCCACCAGTGTCCATATGCACCCTGCTTGAGAACCATTGACCTACACTAACATAAGAGGATCTATATTTCAACTATCCAAAAGTTGAACTACTTCAAGAGATTAAACCTAACTTCATGTTCATATCTGAAACTGGACTCATTCTATCTCAGTTCAAGAATTCACCATCACAGGCTATATGCTCCTACTCACAAAATCTTTAAATTGACATGGCCATGACATTGAGCTTAGGACCTATATCAAAGATTGGTTACCTGTTGCAGAAAGCCCCAAAAACAAGAACCCTGACAAGAAACTCTGTAAGAACTTGTGGAAGATATAATTTCTGAGTTAATAATAAAGAACAATTTAAACCACCTTCTATAATTTTGAAGCACAAATCTGAACTGTTGAATTATTCAGAACACTATTTACATTTTAGCTTTATGAGTGTTGAAACTTGACTAATGCATGGAATAATAATACAACACAAAATGTACTTAAAACAAAATGTATTCAAACAAGAAAGTGTACACAATATTTACATATAGTCTTTTGTATATTCTTGGGAAGACTGTTCCTGGAGAATGTGTTGACTTAGTCGCAGTCGGGCAGAGTCTCTGGATTGAATCTCTTGATTCCTTTCCCCATCTTCCCGGTACCAACCATATTTATACGATTGGTACTCCACTATGCAAATTAGGTGGATCCTACCACAACAATGAGTGATAAAAGATTTGCCAGCATTTTTTATAATTTGTTTTTACTTAACAAAATTCTCATTTACACTATTTACATTGTTTGGACTGTTGTTCTCATCTTTATTGTCATATTCATGATGTTTACACTGTATACTCCAGCCTTCAAACTGAACACTTTATTTAGTCCATGGGGATAGATTGTCTTAGTCCCACAATCCCTGGCCACAGCAGAGGTGAACATGAACTTGAAGAGTTGAGTTAATAAAGGGAAATAACTGAGAACTGAGATATTATCCAGAAAAGGAATGGCACATCTCAGAAATATAGACAGATCTCAAATTCTCATTATCATTCAATAAATATCAGGCAATAAATTTCTCGTTTTTTATGCCACTTTTTAAATTAAACATCATAAAAGGCCAAGTTTGCATACATTTTGAAGAATTCTTTGTAAAAATTCTTCACTATCTTTTTTGGAGCTGCTGATCAGATAAAAACCAAGTTGCAGGAATCAAAACAAGCAAAAGTCTGAAGATGACAGGTCTGAAAAGTATGCAAAATTTAGAAGAACTTCCAAGCCGAGAGATTGTTTTTATAACATTAGGTTTGCCACAGTAGGACAGGTTTTGTCATGCAACAAAACCACCAACTGACATCCTTTTATAGAAAAAAAAAACACACAAAAAAAAACTGATCTTGTGCAATGTATTATTCAAACATGCCAATTACTCCCCATACAGTTTGTAACAATTTTTTCAGGTTCCAGCAATTTTCTAATTCAAAATTCACTTTGCATCTTCATAAAACTTTTGCTACCAGGAAATTCTCTTTATTTTTTTTAAGTTAAAAGCTGATCAGGAGCTAATGCAATTTTCTTCATTTCGACTACCATAATCCATTTTTCATAAACTGGGAATAACTTTCTTCTAAATTAGTTCTTTCTTGTTCTAAATAAGAACAGAAAGACAATTATTTGAATATTGATAAAGTTTATTTTTAAAAGTTAATATGGAACTCAGACTCTGTATTTTCTTCTAAGGTTTGTAAACTATGTATTACTGTTGTCCGATTCATCTCTAATTATTTTGTAATTTTAAATTTTTGTTGCAGATTTCTTCAAAATTTCTTAGATTAGATTCTTCTAGTATGATCTTGGGTTCAAAATTGCTTTTTTAAAACTTTGCACTACCATTTCCAGCACATGCTTGTATCAAATGCATCATATTCTTAATGAAAATACATGCTGGTAGACTGTGACATGATAGTGAAATAAATTACTGTTATCATCACCAGTAGAATTCATCCTGGAAGCAATATACAAAAAAATGATGCATATAGACAATATGTCTTTTGCATATATATATATATATATAATGTAGAGTGAGTAGCCATGGTTAAATGCAAAAATAAATAACAGAACTGCTCAACAAACAGAATTGACAAACTTTGCAATAACAAGAAAAAAAAGAACTGTATAAAAATTAGTATAAAACAAGCAAACTATATATGCAAGGCAAATTAAAAGTAATAAGGCAAAGCAACAGTAATATAGCGAAAAGTTCACAAACTAAGAATTGGCGTTAATGCATAAAAGCAAGTTTGGACAAAGTGAACGTAGTGTTCCGACTTCAAAACAAGACAAACTGAGTAAGATGAAACCAAAAACTAGCATATTTTATTGGTTCGAAAAAAATCCCAGCATGTATTTCTGTGCTTCTGCCTATAAATTGGGGAGGGGTAAAATGTTTTGCTGTCATTCCCAGGGATTGAAATCAACATAAAAAATCCATAAAGCTACAGTGGACAGTATGTTATATGTAATTTGTATATGTGGTTGTACAGATATACATAGACTTTATAGGAAATCAATAATCATATGTTTTTATTTACACATGTCTTCTTCTATGTGCCATGTCCCTTCAGGACATTGGTGTTTAAGGTTCCCCACAATTTCTGTTGTAGCTCTTAATAAATTTTGTCTTTTTGTTCTCTTTCCTAAACTCTGTTCTGACATTCACGAGGTTATGCATTGTTTTCCTCTGTCCTTACCTTCACTATGCCCTGTGAGGATCATATTTTTCTAGAACCCATTTTTTTATTTTGTGCTCAGAAATTTTAACTTTCTCTTTCTGATGCTAAATATAAGTATCCTTATTGTTTCCATTTTCTCTAAAACTTTGTCGTTGCTCACATTTTCAGTTCATGGTATTCTCATCATCTTTCTGTAGAACCACATTTCTGTGACGACTTCTTTATCTGTGAGAAAACTGCTCAGTATTCACTGCCATATAGGAGGACAGATATTATGTAACTACCTGTTATAGAGTAGTTTCACAGTGGAGGCTTGTATTTCACTAAGTCAGTCCTAAAATAGGTTCGACGTACAAAACGTTAGGAACTTGATATAATAGTTAATGAGGCAGCAAACTAGTTGTGGTGGCTGATACTTTAATATCCGACTAACGGTCGTCCGGCATCAACTGACTCCCTCACTGAGCCCCTGAGTGACTGCTACTACTCCTACTTATTATAGGTGGGAGAGTCTATTAACAATAGAATAGGTGTGTTTCAGTATAACACTACCAATTTCTGTCCTCTGTTAAAACACTTCCCAAATATTTAAAATGTTGTGCTGCTTTGATTTTGGTATATCAAATTTTAATTTGCATGTTGGGCTTTTGCCTTTGCTGAAAACCATGAATTCTGCCTTCTTGCAATTGAGGTTTGTAGAAGTCAAGTGACTTACCTGCCAACATGGCTGCCTTCTTGTGTGTCAGACCATTGGCAAGCTAACCAATATTCTACAAGGTTCAGTCTGTTCTTCTTGCTTTCCTTCACTAGCTTCTGTAAGAATTTTTGTAACTTTCTCTGTCTGCTATCAACACAATGAATCATCTGCCTATCTTATGGCATTAAGATTATGGCTACCAATAAGCCATAGATGATTGGGTAAACCTGAAAGACACTTCTCAGATTTTCTTAATATTGTGTTAGGAACTTTTATAGCAGCCTAATGCAAGTGATCTGTCTCTGTTTTGTGAAACATTGATGTAACTGCACACTCAATCAAACAGAATTTTCTGTGCATGCATGAACATTCTCCTATGAGGTTACTCAGTTGGCAATTAGTCACCAGCGAGTGAGTTTGGGCAAATATTACATTCTCAGTAGATATGTTTCAAGTATCCTTCAGACAAAGAGACTATTTGAAGGATTAAGAAGATATAGTTGTTGAGGAGGGTGGAGTTAATGTGGAAAGCCTAAATAAAATTGTGGAACAAATGCTTCAAATTTGGCCAAGGACCTGTTGAAAGTGATTCATATTCTGGAAAAAAAACTTTCAACAAGCAGAATACCTAAAAATGTCAAATGTATGGGAGTTGCTATCTAAGAAAATTGGTAACTTACAGTTGAAGAATTAGAAATTCTGGGATTCTACAGACTGTCCAGAATGTATTGCTGACATTCTGAATTTTCTGCTGAACAAATTTGATACACTGTTCTAGTGACAACTTTCCCAGTTGTAATTGCATTAGAGTCATTTGCCGATACTCCTTATTTTGAAGGCTGCTTAGCAATTTCATTTGGATCAAATCCTCTTCGGCTGACTGGTTTTCTGATCCCTGCTTTTCAAATTCAAAATATTTTGTGACCTGTTTTAAACAAAGAGTATATTCAATAACTGGTTCATTCACTTTTTGAGAAATATTCATAAACTTATCTCTCTCTGCATTCATTAGTTTTTTTACTTTGGTGTTATGTTTTTCATTACTTATATCGTCAAACGTCATTTCCTCTATCTTGAGTGTGCAATTGCTGATAATTTTATAATAGCCACACAACCAGCAGTTGCCAAGAATTGATCAGTTATTTGGTTTTCTCCCCCAAAGGACTTTAAATCCTTCAGCTTTTTGTTCTAGTTTTAGCCACTAGAATTTCAAGTCATGCTTGTGCGTATCCATAATTATCCACTGATAATTGTTCATTTGGTTCTTTAGATATTGGCAACGTCATTGTAGTGTAGTGTTACTATTACCTGGGAGGTAGTATGCACTCAACTGCTTCATGGATAATAGCTATAGCTATTTATAGTCTTTGTGACTTCATATGTAAATGAGTCACCTCAGAAATTAAAAAAACTTATTTAGACCACTTGAGAGGAGAAAGTCATATAAAGATTAGTTGTCATTTGATAACTATTTAGAATTAAATATCTTTGATATAATTCCTCATGGTAGAGGGTTTACCACACTGAAACACCATTTCTTGTATGATCATCGAAGTTAAACAGCATCGAGCCTGGTCAGTGCCTAGATGGGTGATCACTTGGGAATACCAGATGCTGTAAGTTTGGATGTGTAGATGGTGTAATGGATAACAGCTCAGAATTGGAAATCGGAGAGCAGAGTTTCAATTCCAGTTGGGTTCATTATATTCATTTGCATGTAAATACCTTTGGGAAAGGTATGAGTTCACCTCTCCTCCCCTGAGTGATGGGTTAATTAGTAGGACTTGTATTAGTAAACCATTATTATCTTCAAAAAATTATTACAAATTAAAAATATTTTCTGGATTTAAATAACCTCCAAAAGGTTGATAAGCCATACCCCCCGCCTACAAAAAAAACCCAAATCAATCAATCCTCATGGTAGATTGATACATAAAGTACAAAAAAGTTGTATAGCCAGTAAATTAAATTGTTGGTCAAAGAAGTTTTTAAGTGATAGGAAACAGAATTTGTATAAATGGATTATATTCTGACTGGAAGCCTGGAATTACTTGGAATATTTTTCTTTATTAATAATTTACCAACAGTTATCTATAAAATGTAAGATTTTTACAAATGATACCATATTGCATCATTTAATCTTGTTACAGGTTGACAGTGTAATAATACACAAGGCCTTGAACAAATGTTTATTATATTTTAATGAAGATACGTCACATGCAGGCCAGAGAGGTCCATATTATGACACCTGAATGAAAATATATCAAATATTCTAAATAAAAAAAAAATGTCCAGGCTGTATTAATTAATGACAAATTGTCATTTTCTAAGAATATTGCTAAGGTTGTTGCCAAAGCCAACTGTATATTTAAAATGAGAAAAACATTTTCTTTTTTAAACGTAGAGTTGCAAAGTAGTTATATATGTTTCTATTTTGCATATTGGGTTCAGGTATGATCAGTGTATTTAGAAAGGGATAAAACACCAATGCAACAAAATTAGTATCTGAATTACAGATGTTAGGTTGAAAGAATAAAGTCTAACAATATTAGAAAGTAGAAGAGGACCTTAATCACAATGTTTAAAATGATTGTGTATGGTCTTTGTATCAATTCACAAAATTTTACTTGACAGGTTGTCTGAGAAATAGTTTAACAGATATGATTGTCCTCATAATAGATGTGGATACTTTTAAGAAATATTATGACAGTTCATACAAAAACCACAAATGAATAATTATTTTAAATTCAAATTAACCTGATTTGTACCTGTGTTTTATATATATATATATATATATTATATATATATATATATATATATATATATCTCTCAGATCATCCCATAAGTTCTGTCTGAATTTTGAATAAAGAAAACAAATGACCAAATGTTACATTTAATTACAGATTCAATCAGCAATGTATTTTCCCTGATTATCTATGACTTCCTTCCATCTATTAACAAGCTTACTAATTCCATTACTGTAAAATTCTTTTGGCTTTGATTTGAAGAACTTATAAATGCCAGTTTTAACCTCTTCCTGTGTTACAAAAGCCATTTCTTCCAAATGATTCTGTAAGCTACGAAACAAATGGTAGTCTGAAGGAGCAAGATCGGGAGAATAAGGTGGATGAGGAATTTTCTCCCAACCAAGTTCTTCGATCTTTTGTGACGTGATTCTTGCTGTGTGGGGTCATGCATTGTCCTGATGAAACATCACCCCTTTTCAATTCACCAGAGAAAGTCTTTTTTTCCTCAAAGCTTGGTTCAAACGCTCTAATTGCTGAAGTATATTTGAGCATTAATTGTTGCATTAGGTGGTAAGAATTCAAAGTGGATTATTCCTTGGCGATCCCACCAGATTGAAAGAAGAGCCTTTTTCCCATGAAGTTCCCTTCTCGGCTGTGGCTAGAGTCCTTCCCTTTTACCAAGCCACTGTCTACGACGCTTAACATTTTGATAAAAGATCCATTTTTCGTTGTCAGTCACAAGTCTATCCAAAAAAGGTGAAACAAATTGGTGAGAATGGAGAGAAGAGCAGATGTCAACTCGGGATTTGAGGTTGTTTTCACACAATTCATGAGGTACCCATTTTCCAAGTTTAGGAACTTTTCCAAGTTGTTGAAGATGACAATGAACAGTTGTATGGTTTGAACTGAGAACCATTGCCAATTCCTCAACTGATAAAGCAGGATTTTCTTCAAGGGCTGCTTCAAGAAGCTTTTCATCAAAACTCAACTGGATGTCCGGTTCAATCTTCATCTTCAACTTTCATTCATACATTCCTCTCCATAAATTGAGTGAATGTTTCTAGCTGCTTCGGCTGCTGAGTTTCCTTTCTTGAACTCATAAAGCATTATGTGCCTCAAATGATTCTTGGGTACTTCCATGTTAGCAGGGTTTTAATCAAACAAAATTTAATTTTGTTGTTCTCTGAAATAAAATTTGATCAGTTGTTCTGAAATAAAATTTGATCAGCATCTAAACATAAAAATGATGTTCAGCTCCATTAGACATTATAAAATACTCTTTAAATTTTGTTCATTTTAAAAAAAAGGTAAAATTCGGACAGAACTTATGGGATGACCTGATATATATATATATATATATATGAAAATTAACTATTATTATAATTATTAATTGATACAAAACAAAATAATAAGTTAAAACATCAAGGAGAAATTTACTCTACCACCTGTATTGGTTGCCACAAGGAATACATAGGAGAAACCTGAAGGAAATTTAAATAAAAGGTTATGTGAACACAAATGTGATCTTTAACAAACAAAAAAAAAAAAACACACTCAATACATAAGCCTGATGATAATTTTGATTTAAAAAGGCTATTCTAATTAAAAGAGAAAGTAATTTACCAAGATGAAAAAATATAGAAAGTGCTTTAATTGCTAGATCATCCAGAGTAAATTTAAATCCAGGTTCTTATACCATTTCACCTCTTTTTGGCAAATCTTCTATTATCACAATGTGGTATATTTAATAACAAAAGTGATAAAAGCATAAATCAAGAGAAAAAGAAACTAAATAAAATCAACTAGACTATGTATCCAAAATATTCTCAGTACCCCCTCTCCTTCATGCACATGTGTAGTCACATCAGTGTAAACATCACTTTTGTCTGATGAAGCCCTAAAGGATGAAACAGATCACTAACATTTTTGATAGATTTCCCTAAAATATATATATATATATATATATGTACTAATAAATATAGGGTGTGTTTTTGTCATTATAATAGGGTCAGTTGGGCATTTTCTATGAGAAAAAGAACATCATGATGCAATTCACTCTGCCAGAAATTTGGAAACGGTATGCTGTACTGCTTGTCATTTGTGCAGGAAACTCCAATATGAACATTTTAGAATGCTTCAGTGTCAATATGAGAAAAGTACAGAGGATTCAGAAAGAGTCAGATGAGTCTAATGGTGATTACAAAGGCGTCTGGTGTGATCACTAGTAATGGCAACATTATACCTCCATTCATCTTCCCACAGGGCTTCATACTCAACACAGAGGCTTACATAAAGTGCCTTGATGAGATAGTGCTGCTCTGGGTGATGTCTTTTCTGTATCTTCAATTATTATAATTAAAGAATTGCATTGTAAACATTCTTTACTGTATATTTTTAAAAAGGATTTGTCAGCCATTTTGGTGGCAAATTACCTCATCTTTCTTCAATAAATAATACTTCTATTTATATTCCTTGGGCTACACTTCCCTTTCTATTACAGCAGGTGTAATGAGTCTAATATTCTTTGACAGATAATTGCCAAGAACTTTGGAGCTAATGTGTTATTGAATTTTTTCTAGTCTGGAAATTGTAACCCAGTCTAATCGATGGCAGCATGTGAATAGCTTCACAAAGTTTTTAAATTATTTTTATATCATTCAATGAACAAATGTTAATATTATGCTTCTCTTTGGTATTGGCTGATCATAGTGAAAAAATTGTCTCTCAAGCAATTTATTCGAAGGAATGTATGATAATTATCACTAACTTTTCAATTTCAATAAAGATTATTACTTTATCACTAGAAAGTTTTAAACTATGAAAATAAAATATGTACGTGTGTCTGTATATATAGCAATCCCTATTTTGTACAAGTTTTGTTAAAGAGGATGGACAAGGTACTGTGATTAAGCTTTTTATTTAATTTTTCTTCTCTCTGTACAAGAGTTTTCCAAAATTTCTCCACATCGAAGTGCTTTCAGCTATTCTTTTAGCCATTACTAGCAGCATGGCCCGGCGTTGCCCGTGCTTGATTCAAAAATCGTACAACTCATACAACAATCACTATCACTTGACTTAAAATATTTTTGCCCTTCCTTGCCTTTAAAGGAGTGCCCTTTGCCATGCTGATGTTGCTGCATGCCTTACTTCTTGCCTATCTCAAACTGCAAATTTTTTCTAAGCTCTATACTAAACATTAAATCTGTTATGAAAAAAGAACTAAACAAAATGAACACAAAACGATCAGCTTTAAAAAAGGTCTCGTAACTGGAAAAACCGAATGAAAAACAGAATGTTAACAACAAATACTTTTTCACATGCAACCCAGTTCTGTGGAATCAGAATCAATGCCACTTAAAAAAAAAAGAGAAAATTTAGTGTTACTTGTGGTTAATGCAACCACAATCATTCTATTTACCTGACAGCTATGGTAGCATGAAAATTGACTAATGATTTGAACATTATATAGAACTGTAAAATACTATAAAAATCATGGCTTGGCAAACTAAAATTTAAGAATTTTATTTTATTTTTGTTCTATTCTTATTTTTCTCTATATCTGTTTTGGATGTTGCATGTAGCCAACATGGGTCAAGCAAATGGTATTTTTCTGTAGAAGCTGCAGAAAGTTTGGTAAGAGATTCAGTTTTATGGCACTACCTCTACTACTCTTGTTTTGCAAGCTGCTTTCATAAGGAAGGTTATCTGACAAATGCTTTGTTACCACGAATCCCTTTGGGGCAACCTCTATAGCTGGCTGTAGTTGATCCCAAGAGATAAGTGTCAGCTTCTTAATGAATTCCTATATCTCCTCTGTGGTGTCTTTCAGCCCCTGTCACTAAGAAAAGAGTTTACTAAAATATGAACAGCCTT